AGCCATGGTGTTAATTCCTGCTTCGTACTAGCATTATCAGTGCGTATGTCTCCCTTCATGGCTACAGGTTCCTTACAAGCGAATGGTATCCTGGTCATTTCCACATCCCCCCAGCTCCTGGCGCAAAGCCCTGGATAAGCCAAGGGCTCAGTACACACCAGGCGAAAAAAATGGATGTCTCCCCGTCCCCCGTGCAGTCATTCACTGAACACCTCACACACGGAGGGAGGTAAGCAGCCAGACCCTTCCCCGTGGGCCTTGCCATCAAGCTGGGAAGACGCGAGCTGCACGGGGCTCACACCCCACCCCACTCTGGCTCACTCGAGGACTCTCCAGCTATCCCAGGTCAAATCAGACTCGGGCTGCCCACGCTGAGCCTGAAATCACAGTGGACCCTCAGCCTCTGTCTTGCAGACACTCAAAACCCCACCTCGGCATCAGGCAGGAAAGAGGAATCATTAAAAGCTGCCATTTCGATGGGGCGCCTGGGTGGCGCAGTCGGTTAAGCGTCCGACTTCAGCCAGGTCACGATCTCGCGGTCCGTGAGTTCAAGCCCCGCGTCAGGCTCTGGGCTGATGGCTCAGAGCCTGGAGCCTGTTTCCGATTCTGTGTTTCCCTCTCTCTCTGCCCCTCCCGTTCATGCTCTGTCTCTCTCTGTCCCAAAAAAAATAATAAACGTTGAAAAAAAAAAAAAAAGCTGCCATTTCGAGTCCAGATGTCTAGTTCGGGTCTTGGGGACACCACTCATAAGCTGTGTCATTTATCCTCTCTGGGCCTCGGTTTTCTCCTCTGTGAAATGGGAGCAACCACCCCACCTTCATAGGGTTGACGTGTGTGTGACTCTTGTTATGACCTGGACCCTATTGTCACCCTGTCACCCTCTCACTTCTCCAAGGTTCTCAAAGTGGGGTGTGTAAGGGGCTTCTGACCTCAGGGCTCCCATGTCCACACATTACAGGGCAATAAATATTCACCCAGAATTTCCCAACCATGCTGATCACGGTGATCATCATGGCATTCAAGGCCTGGCAGAGCCTGGTCTGGGTCACCAGCCACCATCATGTGGCCGGGCCCCTCCAGAACCTCTGAAGTTGCAAAGGAGTCCCTTTGCCAGACTTGGGGGGCTAGACCCTGCCTGGGAAGCAGTCATACTTACCCTGTGTCCATCCTCCTGGAGTTTCTGGAGGACCCGCCTGAATCCGGAGAGGGTAGGTTGCCCCATGCCGAACACGGTGAGCCCACCCCGCACCTGCCGGAAGTTGGGGGCCCCACAGCTCTGCACGGTGCCCAGAACATCCATCTTCTCAACAACATCCCGCACCAGGAAGTAGCGACCCTGGCAGGGGGAGAGACACGAGGGGTCACTCAGATGGCTCAGGGACATCTTCTACAACCCTGTCCCAGGCCCCAGAGGATGAAGAGCAGGGAGATGGGGCAGGGGACATGGTCTTCAAGTTGTCTGCCGACTTCCGGAAAAGACAAACAAAATATTTGACCATCTGTGATCCCAGGAAGGATCTCATCTAGCATGGGAAAGGGAAAGACAGCTCCTCCTGATGGAGAATCAGGGAAGGCTTCATGTAGGAGGCAGCGTTGAAGCCAGGCCTTGAGGAAAGCAAGCAGGGAGAGGCATCTTGCGGCAGGAAACGGAGTCTGACTCTAGGATGGCATCCGAAGCTCTCCAGGAGGAAGGCCTATGTCTCCCTCAGCCAGTGGAAGGGCATGGAGAAGGGGCCCAAGCAGGGAGTCACAGCTGGGGCCCCAGGAATCAGCGAGAGGAAGACTAAACTAGCTCCTTCCTAAGGTCCTGAAGTTCTGAGGCTGCCCAGGTCTCTCCCCTCCCCAGCTGGAGTGAATGGATGCAATGACTGCTGAGTAGAAGGTGGGGAGGGCAAGAGAAGCCAGGACGGTTCGTTCCTGGGCACAAATGAACTCTGGCATCACCTGTCCGGGCCCCTGCCTTCAGTATGACCCACAGGACATTGCCTGACCGATCAGAAACGGAACCAGTTCTTCCAAATGCCAGAAAATCCCAGCTACTCTTTCAACAAATATAGCCTAATCGGCATGATTACTCATTCACTATTTATTGAGCACCTACATTGCTAGAACCAAGTACCGTTCTGGGGCTGGGGGCTACAGCAGTAAACCAGAAAAATGAAAAGTCGTCTGTCCTTGGGGACCTCACTTTCTAGGGGATATTGGAGGGGGAAAATAGCTAAGTAATAGAAGTTCTGGAGCTTCGAGAACGGGATGGAGATCCCCAGGCCGAGGGGAGCAGTCTGAGGCCCGGTATCTATTCTTCCGGCTGCTCCGAGGGAGGGGTGCGGGCAGGCGAGGGCCAGGCAGGGACCTGGCAGAAGAGAAGAGCAGTGACCCCAGACACCAGAGGGTGAGAGGAAGTGGGTGAGGACTCCGGAGGGTGGGGTAAGGACATGAAGCAGAGAAGGGGCCGGGGTCGGTGGGA